TAAAACATGGATGAACTTTCAATACATTATGCTACGTGAAATAAGCAAGGCACAAAAGGCCAAATATTGTATGATTCCAAGATAGGGAAACCAGTAGGCCCTGTTCCATAAGAAGTCATAAGACTGGAACCAAGGTCTCCAATGAAGTAGTAGGCAGCAGCAGGGAAACTGGCCAAAACCAGTAAGAACCAAGATGGTGAGGAAAATGACCTCGGGTTACCCTCCTTGCTCATTGTATGCTAATTATAACACATTAGTATGCTAAAAGAAACTCTCACCAGCACCATGACAGTTCACAAATGCCATGCCTTATATGGTTTAGAAAGGGGAGGAACCTTTGGTTCTAGGAACTCTCCACCCCTTTCTCAGAAATCTTATGAATAATCCTCCCTCTGCTTAACATAAAATTAAATTAAAAGTATAAAATAAGGCCACAGAAACTCACAAAGGGCTACTCTCTGTTGCTCTGAGAGATAGCCGCTGCTCTGTCTATGGGGTAGCCTTCCTTTTGTTTCTTTCTTACTTTAATAAACTTACTTTTGCTTTACTCTGTGGGCTCACTCTTGAATTCTTTCCTGCGTGAAGCCAAGAACCCACTTGGCCTTCAGTCTGGACCCCAGTTTCGGGGTCCACTTTCCTGTACCAATTCCACTTAAATGAGATACTTAGAATAAGCAAATTCATAAAGACAGAAAATAGAAGTTACCAGGGATTGTAGATAATATAATGGTGACAGTTACACACAATGTGAATTTATTTAATGCCACAGAAGTGTTCACTTAAAGTGAGTTAATTTTATGTATATATTTTACCACAATAAAAAAAAATAAAAATGCAACACTGAATAAAATTAATAAAATTAACTAGAAAAAAAATAACCAAATAGGGAATCAATCAGTATCATTCAACTGGGAAATAGACAAGCAGATTGTGACTCATCCCTACAATGGAATACCACTGAGCAATGTAAAAGTATAAACTACTGATACGTGCCATGTGAATGGATCACAAAAAAGCATTATGTTAAGTGAAAGAAAGCATACACAAAAGGCTACATACAGTATGATTCTATTTATATGACATTACGGAAAAGGAAAAACTACAGAGACAGAAATCAGATCAGTGCCAGATGGGGATGGGAAGAGGGGATTGACTACAGGGGAAATTTATGAGATAATGGAAATGTTCCATATCTCACCTTTATGGTGGCTACCTAACCACATATATTTGTCAAAACTCAAGCTGTATACCTAAAAAGGATACATGTTACTACATATAAATAATACTTCAATAAACCTGACTTTAAAAAAAGAAAGATGTGGACATGTCAAAGAACACAGTAGCCAACCTAAAGGGGCTTCCACTGGCCAAATGTGGGTCAATTCAGAGCATCAAAATAATGATATTATCAGATTACAACTTATAAAATAAAACAGGAGGCTGTCAGTACATACAGATACAAATAAATGAATATATTGCAAGTTTGATGGAGAAAAAGATAATTACATAGTATTTCCTCATAAACTACTTAGAAATTACAGAGGAAAAAGCAGTAACTTCCTGGTGGGAAAGCCTGGCCAACCACCTTAATCAAATGATCCAAGTGAACGTCAGAAAACGGACACACTGAGACTGTGTGCTGCCGGATGGGCACGATGAGCCGTACTCAAGTCACTTCCGTGATATCCCTGCCAAAGATACATATAGAACCTGAACCTCATCATAGGGAGACGTCAAATAGGCCCAAACTGAATGACATTCTACAAAATAACTGGGCTGTAATCTTCAGAAGTGTCAAGATCTTAAAAAACAATGAATGACTGAGGAACTGTCCCAGAGTTTAAAGAGACATGACAATTACATGCAATGCACAATTCTGAACCGAATCTTTTTGCTATAAAAGAAATGACTGGGACAACTAGGGAATCTTGAATGGGGTCTGAGGATCAGATGACAGTAATTTATCATTAGTTCCCTGCTTTTGATTGTTGTGTTGCAATTATGTGGGAGAATGTTTTTATTTGTCGAAAATATACAGTAAAAGGCTGGGCGCAGTGGCTCACGCCTGTAATCCTAGCACTCTGGGAGGCCGAGGCGAGTGGATCGCTCAAGGTCAGGAGTTCGAGACCAGCCTGAGCAAGAGCGAGACCCCGTCTCTACTAAAAATAGAAAGAAATTA